CGGGTTTTCGGGCAGAATTCGGGTAAAAATTCAAAAAACTAGCCGTTTTCGGGTATTCGGGAAGTTCGGGTAGAATTCGGGCAAAATTCAAAAAAAGTAGCCGTTTTGCGTGAATTCGGGCAGGCGGGTTCGGGCACACGAATTTTCGGGTCGGGCAGTTCGGGCATGGTCAGAAAAATTCAAAAAAATTCCGGCGGACGGCAGTATACGGCGATTCGACGGCGGCGGGCAAGAGAGTCAATGTCAAATTCGGGATGCCCGACCCGAACCCGAAAATCTAGCTTGGGCGGGCGGGAAATGGGCTTGCCCGCCCGAGCCCGAAAAAATTCAGGCTTCGGGCAGCCCGACAACCCGAACTTTCAGCACAACGTGTCCATCCATCAATTGAATGGTTTGTGATTTTTGTGATCATTGATCTATAGAATCGTACAGTTATAGTTAATACGAACCATAGTACATTAGTACTACACGTTCACCTTATATGAATGGAGGAAGATTGAGCCCAAAATTTACATCACCTAAAATTTTAGACAATTTTAGACTTCGTTTGCTTCGCAAATTTAAATTTTCAATTCGAGTTAAAATATGATATTTTATGAGAATTTTTAATCATAGCAGAAAAAGTTAGATATGACATTTTTTGACAGTTTTTAACTGTAGAAACCTAAAACTAAAAACTCGAATTAGTGAAATGAACGAGACCTTAAAAATACCCATTGAAATAGAATCTTTTTTTTTATTTTTAAGATTATTATCACTGATGCATCCCGAATTTAAGGCCTGAACATTAAAAACTCTCATTTTGCTCTATGAACTTTTAATTATTTCCACCTAATCCCTTTTGTAACAATTTTTGTTAAAAATAGATTAAAAAAAAAGAAAATAATGCAGTAACATAATCTTTTTATTTGGATTTTTGTTAAAAAAAAAACATATACAAACCACATAACTACACATAACCTCCACTTTTTCCGTCTGATTTTAACAAAAATTACAAAAAAAATGAGTTAAGTGAGAACAATTCAAAATTTATGAGGCAAAGTGATAATTTTTAAAGATGAGAGAGCAAATTATGAATGACCCTAAAGTTCATAGGTACTAGTGAAAATAATCCTTATTTCTATCCCCTAACATTAACCCATATATTCATACATTTTAGACTAAAATTAATTTATAGATATAGTTTTTTAAAATGATGCTCTTAGTAAGTCAGATATTTAACAGAGATATAATATATAATTTTCTCTAAAATTTTTAATTTTATACGAAGGAGCTTAATATATAAATTATACATACTTGAACGTTAAATTTTATTAAAATCAAATCAAAATTAAAATATATCTAAATTAATATACACACAGGTTAAAACTTAATCTATTGATGAGAGGATGTTTGTTTTCATACTTTACTATAAAATTCTCTAATACGAAAGCAATAAAGCTTCTCTTTTTAGAGGAAATTATTAAACTGGGGCAAAAAAAAAGAAAAAATAAAAAAAAAGAAGCTTTCCTGAAGTATCTCTTTCAATTATGCATTGAAAGGTCTCTTTCAATTATGCATTGAAAGGTCTCTTTCGACGAAAAGTAAATAGTAAAAGAAGAGACGTTTGGTTCATAAATTAAAATTATGTGATTAAAATTATTTTTAATTTATATATATATTTTATGAAAAAAATATTATAATAAATCATAAATCATGATTCAAATTATGATTTGAATCCTTCAATCAAACGTCCTTAAATTTTCGTAGAAAAGAAAAAGAAAAGAGCAAAATATCGAGAAGAAATCATATAAAGGAAGGATTGCCTGATATTTCTGGTACTGTGTGGGAGAGGACATATATATATATATATATATATATATATATATATACACGCACATATATATATATATGTATGGCCTATTCCTATACATACATATATAGACACTCACACATTGGATTAGGCTTTGGAGTGAAGCGAGAGAGTAGGGCTGAGATTGGTACAATGTACAAACCAACCAGGAATCGACACCGTCTTCTCTTGGAACGAGGTTAACTAAGTAGGCTGAGTCTATAGTCTAATTAAAACTTTAACTTTTATGGGTATGATCATCATATGATGTAGGATACTATTCTCATCAGGCCATTTAGTACTACCACAGATATCAAATGATCATGAAGCACATGACCGAAACTCAAGTAAGGGTGACAAAAACTTTTGAAGTGTACTTTTGGGGAGAGACGCACGGGTGTACATCCTCTTTCAATTTTTTTCAGCAAATAAACGGCTAAAGAAATATGGAGAATTTTACTGTAGAGTATGAAAAGTACTTTATCAGCTGTTCTTTATTGAAAACCGTGAAATCTGTATTAAGTTTTTGTCAGTTCTGTTGTATTCTTTTTCCTCACTATTTAAAAATTTTAACTATTAATATATTTTATATATTTTTTTTATATGAGGTGAATTTAATTTAATTTAATAATTAAAATTATATGTTTAAATTCATTAAATTGTTATTATTTTTTTAATTTAGAATAACATGATTTTAAAGTGATTTAACAGTATAAAAGTAAAGTTTTGTTTATTTTATTAATTAGAGTTTATAATTTAAATTTTGTTATAATTTTTGTTCACTTTATAAATTTAAATTTTTAATTTAAATTAAAATGTGATATTTTTAAAAAAAATTTAATTATAAAAATTTAAAATTTAAAATTTAAATTAATAAAATAAATGAGACTTGACAAAATTCTGCCGAGAAAAGTTTTACCTGAAGCATTGGTAAAAAGAAACGACCTTTTTTACGGTCAATTACCACTTGACAAATGTTGCAAAAATTTCAACATCTGAGGTCGTTTTTAAACACCACTGAACAAACAGATTAAAATCCTAACCGTTCTTCGTTCTTAATTAAAAATTTCACTTATTTTTTTCTTTATCAAATCCTGTGGCATTGCTAATTTAGTATTTTATTGTTAGATTATCGGACAGATCTTTCTATATAAAAAAATGCCATAAATCAGTTCTTACTCCTTAGTACTTATATTATTAGCTCATGTTAATAATTTGAACGTCAGTCTCATGGACATGGCATCACTTCGGTCTTTTTTCTTCTTTTTTTTACACTGGAAATAATTTCATTAAAACAACGTCCGAAAGACAACAGGAGAGAAGAGGAAGAACAACTGAGCAACACAAACGCTCAAACCGGAGCCAAAACGACACAACACCAGGGCTGTTGCATCACTACATTGTTGATTTGTGGGACTGTCATCTCTCTATAATTGCAAAATTTCGTCAACTTCAATGTTTTTATTTTTATTTTTTAAAACAATTATTCTCTTTGCATCACTATGGTGTCCATGTACTTGAGGGATTATTTATTATTATTTTTTATAGCAACGTACGTCCGTTTAGTTGCTAATTCGAGTTGAGATGTGATTTTATATGAAAATTTTTTACTGTAATAAAAAAATTAAATATGACTATTTTTAAAAAAAATTTACTATAACAAAATTTAAATTTTAAATTCGAATCGATAACGGACCATTTTACAAAATTCACCGACCCCTAGCTTCTCATAAGAGAACTGAGAAAGGAGATGTACTGGATTTTTGGGCGGCATTTTTTTTGCCACATTAGTACTTCTTTTGCTTGAAAGAGCCCTCAAACGTCATTTTCTAGAAAAATGATGGGGAATAAACTAGAGTAGGCTCTTTTTTTTTTTTTTTTTCTTGATCAAAACTAGAGTAGTTGTGCAACAGAAAAACAATTCAAATTCAAACAATCAAGTAAAAACGAACTAAATCGATGATATAAGATTTAGTTTAAAAAAACAAAAACACAAAAAGATTGTACCATAAAAAACGCGATATAGTGAAAAACAAGATTGTAAGGGATTAACATACATTAAACTTTAATTATCTCCTCAAAACATGGACAGAAGGGTAGATTTGTTAAGTCGATCTTTTAAATCCCAAAAAAAAAAAAAAATCAGCCATATTTATGATATTTGAGGGGATGAGTTCCTAAAACTCTCGGTATTTTTTGTGGTTGCAAGCGTAGTTTAACGGTAATTTTACACATGATTCCATTTTAAGGTGACGAGTTTAAATCTCCCATCTCCTAAGTAAAAAACTCTTGGTGTTTTGATGGATACGTTTACTTTGTGTTGTTTTTTTAGGAATTTCACAATCATATTATGTTTTTTTTCATTCCACCTAAATCTTCATTTTTAACAAAAGTTGATCAGATTTTGTAAAAATACCATTTTTACAACAAGTTCAACCAAATTGATCAAACTTAAGGTGTTTAGGTACTTATCTCTTTTATAAATCTCAACCACATTTTAAAACAGTTGAATTAGAGGAATAACTCTTTTAGAGAGTTTGCATTCAAGTACGACACTTTTATACATAATTTAAGCCTCATTTACATATAAAAGTTGTACAAGGAATAACTAGACTTCAAAAGATGATACGCAACCTAATTTATACTTTTAAAACATATCCCACAAACAAACCACTTGTAATAGTTTTAAGAAAATATCACACATGAAAAAATTTATGAGAGTGAAGTTGAAATATAGCAATATTTAAAAAAAAAGATATTTTAGAAATAACAAAAATTACATAATATTATTTTAATGATATTCGTATTTATATTACATAGTAACTATTTTATTGATAATATTTTTTTCTGAAATATTAATTTTTAGTTTTTTCCATTTATAAATATTTTACTTTTTTTGGCTATATTTCAACACGACTGACTTCCATCAGAAAACAAGACTGACGAAATGTGTCAAAAGGCCAGGCCTTAGCCCATTCAGGGAATATCGCTAAGCCCAAAACGTCGGACTTGAGCCGGGTTGGACTGCTCCGTTTAACACGCGCGCGAAAACATTAGAAAGAATCGAAAACCACCAATCAACAAATTCTTTTCAAGCAAAAATACAGGTTCTTCAAACTCTAGTTCGGCAGTTATGTTCTGAGCTCCAACAACTTTTGAGCTTCTAAAAGCCTTCGAACCATATTCGATCCCAGAGAAATGCCGATCCAAAACATCATCGGAAAGCTCAAAACTATCAAAAGTCTTCACCCGCCAAAACCATATCTTCAAATCGTTAATGCCATTTCGAAAACTCCCATGTTTTCACCTCCAAAAACCATGGACACCACCGCCATTTCCTTCCTCTCCCATCTCGACCTCAACTCTTTACACCTCATTCTCTCCGACCCAAATGTCCGATCCTCCGTATGTTTCAAATTCTTCAACTTTCTCGTCAAAAACCGATCTTTTGTCTCCGTCAAGCCCGATCTTCAAGCCCATTTGACCCTCATTTCCAGGCTTCTCAAATCGAGAAACTTCTCCCAAGCAGAGAATCTCTTGAGGTCAGTGTCGGTCGGTGAAAATTGTGACTACCCATTTCCTGTTATTGCTTCTACGGTTTAGATTGTCTGCAATGAAGCGAGAATCAAAGCCAAGTTTTTTAATATGGTGCTTAAAGTTTATTCGGATAATGGCCATTTTGATAGAGTTTCGGAGGCTTTTGATTACATGAAGAGTAACGGCATTGAGATTGACGAGAGGACTTGTACTGTGCATTTGCTCGCTCTTAAAAGAGCTGATAAGGTTCAAATGAGCTTAGATTTTTTGTATCGAATGGTTGGAATTGAATCCAACATGAAGGTTTCTGAGTATTCTTTAAGTGTTGTGGTTGATGGGTTCTGTAGAATTGGAGAGATTAAAAGGAGTAGGGAGTTAGTAGAGGAGATGATTGATAAAGGCACAAAACCAAATGTTGTGACATTTAACATAATGTTGAATGCTTGTGCTAAGAGATGGAGCTTTGGGGAAATGGATTTGGTCATGCTTTTGATGACAAAGGAAGGTGTGGGATTCAACACCAACACTTACAAAATTTTGATTGATGGATTCACTAGCTCCAGTAGAGTTAAAGAAGCCCAAAGTTTGGTGGAGGAGATGCATGATAAAGGACTAAAAGTTGAACCCCACTTGTGCAATTTGATTATTAGTAGCTTTTGTAGAGTGGGTTGTACGGAAAGTGCATGTTTGTTATTTGATGAAATGGCTGAGAGAAATGTGTCCCAAAATGCCGATACGTACTCGGCTATAATATGTGGTCTTGCCAAGAATGGAGAGATGGGGAAGGCAATGGAATATGTGAGGGAGATGCAGGACAAGGGAATTGAACTCGACGGCGTTATGTTCAATACCTTAATCGATGGTTTTTGCGAGAAAGGGATGATCCGAAAAGCTTATGACTTGCAACTTGTGATGGAGATGAGAGGTTTGAGTGCTGATGTATCTGTGACTAACAAGATAGCAATTGGGTTGTGTAAGTTGAATCAAGTTACAGAGGCAAAGAAGCTGTTGAATTTGATGGTCAAAAGGAGTGCGACTACTGAATTGGCGAGCTTCTCGTCCTTGGTCAATATTCAAAACGAAGAAGAGGGTTTTATGAATGTGGAAGCTAAAGTTTACCGATAAAGCAAGACTTACGACGTCCAGCTTCGCAGATTGATGATCAACTAAAATAGAGAATGCTGCAAGTATAACCCGCATGTTGGTGAATTTCATCAATGTTTTGAAGCTTGTCAATAACTTTAATAGCAAGCAAGTCTTATTTTGAACTGAAAGGAATGGTTGATTAGGCTGCTTCGTGTAATACTTTTTAAGATTCTCAGCTGGCTCCGCCACTGACAGCTATTTGGAAAACAACTTACCCTTGAACGGATTTCGTTCACCCATGCAATGGGCAACACTGCAATAAATCGCTTAGATTATGCTTTCAATTTCGTCATGTTTTGCCTTGTTGAAATACATATTTCTATCCATTGGTTGATAAGTGAATTTGTTTCTGAGGTTTGTATTGCCGCTATGGTGTTGGTTTCGGAGGGGTCAATTAGTAACAGTTTTAAATGGCTTTAGTCAATGATTCTTGGCGCTCACGAACAGGGTCAATTCAATATCCTCCCTCTCGTTTCGTTTAGTAAATTTTCACTGCAATACGATTTATGTTAATCTTTATCTATTTCTTAATGGCTCGAAAAAGCACCAATCAAAACCAAAATGGAAAACGCACTTCTATAATGGCCATCTCGATCCTTCAAGGAGACGTATGATTTATGGAGCATCTGTACACATGGAGCGATGAACATACATAGCTCCTGCAGACCAAATGGCCACTCCCCAAAATAAAACAATAAAAATAAATTTAAAAAAAGAGGGTTAATCTACAACAAGAGTACAAAACTGTTAGGCTAGCCCAGATCCTGAGGAGCCCCGGAAAGTATGGCTTCACTTATCACTGATCCATGCTTTCCCATAGCTGGAATGCTGAGAGACCGTTTTCTGGCTTTGGCATTGCCAGGAGATGGAACTCTCATCTCATTCTTCTCCCTAAGCAGGGAGGAGTAAGGGCACAGCGGTTCGGACAATGAATCGCTTTTGGTCCTAAAAAAGTTTTCTGTGTTCCGGCAATACTTGTCCCGTTGCCTGCGGGATGTTTGATCCCCGGAAACAGGGGCAATCTTATCCTTTGCTTCTTCATCTTCTGACCAATACCCGTTCTCCATCATATCCTGCATCGCCAAGTCATCATACTCTTCATCTGATTTCGTAGACTCCTCATCAACTGAGCCTACCTGTGAAACCGAAACAGGAAGAGAAAAAATGTCGTGAACTTTTGATATTTGGAAATGAAAAGACGCTTCACCCATGTAAGTAACCAATTCTTTAGTATGTATCCACAAGTTATGTCGGCTTCAGGCACTTTTCTATTCACTTGGATTCCATAGCAACGTATTCACTTTCTAATACATGATCAACGATGCACTCTATGTCCGGTAATTCTTTTGTGTCCTCTAATCTAAAGCTTACAACAGATTTTATAGAGGCCAAATTTAATAAATTTTACCTCTTCAGGGTCGTGTCTGTCAACGTCGTCACTAAGATCATCATCGCTGCCAGCCTCCGGCTGGTCATCAATCTCTTCATCACTTCCATGCACTGAAGTTTCTTCCTTGAGCTGAAGCCAAAAAAGACGAACAAAATCCCAAGGATGAGATAATGAAATCAGAAGATTGCATTCTACTGCTAATAAAGCCCACTTCACCCCCAGTTTCAACAATAACTCGTGTTTGGCAGCTCTGCTGTTCGATTAGATAATTCACTATACAAAACTTAGACAGAAAGTAACGAATTTGAACAAAAAGTGTTGAAGCGTACCTCCTTCGAAGGTCCATCAGACATCCTTGGTGAGCTGCAGCAAGACGAGTAATATCTACTACCAGTATCAGTCCCGTCAGCCCTTGACTCGTCGACACTCCCAGCACGACTAGTGCCACCATCACTGGGCCAAGCAGTAATCCCATAAAGGCCAAATTGAAGATTAACTTGTTCTGCCTTTCCAATCTGTTCTCGATTGACCAACAGAGGCTTTCCATTACCGTCAACAGCTTCGATAGGCCAAGCTTTGGCCACGGATCCATCAATATTAACAAGAGTTATAAGATGCCTAGATGAACCTTGTCTCTGAATCAGCTGAAACATTCCCTTGGAACTCAAAGAATTTGCTGCACACTGGTTTCGATATTCCTCATCTACCAGAGCCACTGTGTTTGTCGTGGGATCATAAAGTTGTTCCCCAGCCTCACGCCTACGAAGGCAACTGAAGACCGTCGCATGTATAGCTGCCACACTCTTGTCAACATTAGTATTTTTTATTTTAGGGACAAGATGCTTGTCAGCCCGCTTGCAAAGATATTCCTGGATTGTCCTGATGTTACGGATATACTTCACATATTTGTTCTTGGCTGGGTCCAGTGTCATATACTTTGCACGTACAGCAAATCGTTCCATGTGTTTCTCCTCATTTGTGATGTATATCATGAATGGTATGATTGAAGGATGTTTTTTCATCAGCCCCATCTGCAGACCAAGAATAAACATTTGTTTAGCATCGGCAGACAGAAACAAAAAGACGAGCGGAGAAAAGAGTAGAGAAAATGAAGCAAAACATAGGAACATAAGACGACTAACCATATACTTACCACAAAATTAAGGCTCAAGTGAACACCCTCAACTACCACTGATTCTTTCCTCTCTTCCCAAGCAGTAATTAGCCGATCAAGACTGTCAATTACCATCTCACTCTGTGCCTTAAAACCTTCAATAGCCATCTGCTTAGGACTGAGCAATTCAGTAGTACCAGAACCAGCCTCCTGTTTCTGCATCTCGGATATCCCAGCAGTAGACCCATCAGCTATATCCTCTTTGAGAAGTGTATGTGGTGTACCCGCCATTTTTTGAGCTTTCTTTTTAGCCCTTGCTTCTGCAACTGCTACAGGATCCAAGAACTCCCCTGCATGATAGGTTGAAGCCCACAGGAGAGGATTTTGCTTCTCATCCACAAAACTTCTCATCATATGCCGAATTGAATCAGTTGATATCACTGTTGTGATTCCCAACCTACTACCCTGCAAGACAATAGAGAATTGAATACTTAAATTCTTGGCAGATAAAATAATGGAACAACAAAAACTCCATGTTTTCCATCTAATTTGGTAAACACATATTTCCTTTCTACGCATGCCAGATAAAAAAAATAATAATAATTGGCTTTATGAAAACATGAAAACTTAATCACAGATGTGAGCGTTAGTGAACTCAAATACCAGCAACGCGGACAAAGTAGATTTGCCGCAGCCACTAGCGCCACACAACAATACAGTAACAGATTCCTTCTTTTCTCTGATTCTGCAGCGACAAATATCATAAGATATCATAAACTGAAAAAAAAAAAAAAAAAAAAGAAGTCTTGCAAGGGGTGGGGAAAAAAAAGGAACAAGGCTACAGCTTTCGAGTTTACAAGGTCAATAGTTCATTATTAGAAACATAAACCTCAAAAGGAAACTGTTATAATGATCGATCTCATCAACATTCAACATTTCATCAGAGTCGAGTTTTCCTAGTATAAAATAATGATTTTTCTTTGTGATGCATGGTCATTTAATGAACGTTCTGGACCTGCTTATTGTGCAAGTTTTTCCAGAATTCAGATAATCATGAATTATAAGCAGCCAGACTGAAAAAGAAGCAAAACTTCCAATGCAAATCCAGATTACGGGGAAAAAAGACTGGGGATAAACTATGCTAACCTATGCATCCAAAGATAATGACGAGATTAGGATGAGTAGAAACTTAAGTCTACATGTATCTTCACAGAGATAGAGGGGGAAAACGAGGACAGTAATAGTGGCTACTCAACAAAGGGAGCATCGGTAAAAATTCCTCTTTTTCAAATACCAAGAAGTGACTAACACATGAATAACAAAGCAATCAAGATGACTCGGCAGACGTTCAAGTATGTGCTCATATACCCATGTTAAAAATTTACTGTCTTTTTGGTTAAAAAACAAAATTCACTTATATCTTTCTTCCCCTTTTTATTTATTTATTTATTTATTTTCCTTGTTATCTTATCTTCCGAAGAAACACATGCCTCTCTAGGCTGCTATAACTAAACCGTCAAGACCTCAAAATGAAGCCCACAGCTTTATGTAACGTTGAGGCAATCTGCTAGATTGTCAAAACATTTAAATGGAACTACTTCAAAATGTTATTGATAATACTAATAGCAGAAATAAAGGATACTTCCTCACCTGCATGCCAATACTAGGTCGGCCCTCTGGTTCGGACCAACATACTTATACTCAGCCAAAGCATTGCACACAATATTTAAGAAGGTTTCTCTCATAACAATAACAGTTGTGCGCCTTTTGTACAGTTCGAATGGTACACTTTTACCACTGCCGTCTTTCCTTGAAATGAACTGCTTGCCAGCCTCTGTGTCGGTCAAATCTGTGAGAAGAGCATCTTCTTTCTCCCACTTTCCAGTTGAATCATTGGAATCTGATTTTTCTTTCCCTTCTGGAAGCAAAGGATCAATGAACTTTTCGCTCCTTATCAACTCAAACACTCCTTGGCAAATCTGTCAGTAAAAACATTTATCTCGAATAAATGAAACAGCCAAGTAGAGGAACATAAGAAATCACCAAGAGAACCAGTTTAATAATCCACCCACACGAAAAGGTAAAATTACTTAATTAGTCAAAACAACTATGTGAAGGGAACAATTGGATAATTTAAAAACATCTAACAATCTGGGCTTAAGGTGTTACTTGCAAGATCCAATAACAAGTCAGGGTAAAATAAGAATAAATAAGGTCTTGTTCATTTCACCAATTCGACTTTTTAGTTTTAGGTTTCTACAGTTAAAAGCTCTCAGAAAATATCACATCTAACTTCTTCTATTACAGTTAAAAGCTCTTATAAAATGTCATATCTCAATGCGAATTGAAAACTCGAATCTACGAAGCGAACAAAGCCCAAGTCATTCATCAACCAGCTAAAAAGCCTACTGTAAAATGCATTAACGAACATGAGTTCTAAAAAACAAAAAGAACAAATGTTCATAAACATTTAAGAGACAAAGAAACAAAATGTTTCTATATGCCAATTAAGGAAAATTGGTTTAATCTGCCAGTCCAAGCTGCAATCACTTGGTGTGGTCTCCCTATATCAAGGCGAGGCAGAACAGACTGTGCCCCATTTCCATGACGCGTAGGGTAAGCATAGAAATGTACATATCGAGACATTCAATGGCAACAGTGAGTACTTTAATTAGTAAAACAAATTTCAGCAACCATCTGAAGGACAAAAAATGAATGGAAAAAAAAAAAAAAAAAGAGCCAATGAGAACAAGACAGAAAACGAGCTAGGCGGTCGTGTACAACAAAAACAAAAAACTTCCCCAGCCGAAATGAATTTTAACCGGTCAAGTTGAAGGCGACACGAGAACAGCGCAACAGATATTTAAATATATACATATGTGAGAGAGAGAGAGAGAGAGAGAGGACCAATTCTGTGATAACAACATTGGACACTCGGAGTTTTTGAGACGAGAATAACCTTGGCTAGACCAGACGTATTAGCGGGACTAATCCACCGACCAGAAAGTGGCATAAATCTTTTGTTGACCGGTACTTAGATACAAATTAAAAAGGAAAAAGAAAAAAATTAGGCAAAACATTCAACAAGGCTACGTGACCATTAAGACTTCTGACTTCCAACTGTGAAATTCGGAACTTTCATAGAACACGTTCCATGCAAATCCAGATCTGAAACCGCAAAAGAAAATACCCTTCTAAGAAAAAGATCAAAAAAAAAAATCAACAACCGAATTGTGATCTCCCTAAAGAAAAATTAAGCCGAATTAATTCCGATTTACAAATCCAAAAAAAATCGATACAAAATCAGGCGATCAATTTCAATGCATCGAATTCGAAACGAGAAATCAGAAAAACAGAGTAGAAGAACATGCCTTGAAGGCATGACGAGCTTTGCAACCCATGAGCTGCAGAGTGCTCTGCAGAACGGAACGCGTATATCGAAACGACTCTTTTCCATTATCTCTCTTGTCCTCTTCGTCCACCACCACTATGTACAGTATTACCTTGGCCACCTCCGTCGTCATCTCTGCACAAAACCAAAAACAAATCCCCAAATCACATAAATATCCATGGAAAACTAAATCATCGAGCACAAAATTCACGCCTCTGAATTATGAATCCAAACAAGAGAAAAAGACATGAAAACGAACGGATTGGACTACAATGCCGGTCAACAATGCGAGAGATAGGTGATAAATCGAACCTGAAAAAGGCGGTTGCGGAGACCGGCGAGGAAACGGAGCGATTGATCAAGAGGAAGAAAGCTGAATGGTGGCGAGAGCTTCAGAGAAGGAAAAGTAGGGTTAGAGAGAGAGCGTTAGAACTCGACATTTTTGAAGAGGACGACGATCTCAGAGACGTTTCTTCTGTTCTGTCACCTGTCTTCCACGCATCGCACAGAGCGACCCTCCACGAGTCCTCACAAGAGCACACTTTCTTTCTCTCTCGTCGTCTCGTCCTTCTCCGTTTCTCTCTCTCTTTTTCTCTCTCTAAGATCCGAGCAAAATTACAGATTTCGCCTTCGACCGGTGCGGAAATAACAAGTGCCTGTGCACGATAGAGGAACGCGGCAAGGGTTAATTTTTATAAGGAAGGTGGGTGGGCCCCGAGAACTGGAAAAATTAAAAAAGAGGTCTAAAAGGAAAATAAAGATTGTTTTTTTTTTTTTGAAGAAAAATAAAGATTGTTTTTTGTTTACACTTATATTTTGTAATCTTATTGCTGAAGAAAAATCAAAAGTCAAAAATGGAAATATGAAAATACATTATCATATTAGTCCGAGGGAGAGACTCACTAATAGATGCATAAATTAGCAAAAGATCCGCACGTTGCTTAAAAAATACTGTTATATTATACGTTTTTGTTTCTTTTTTTTTCTTTTGTTTTCTTTTGTTTTTTTTAACTACAAAATAGAAATTTTTAAAAAAGTTAATAATAATAATTAAAGAAGTTGAAAATCTTTAATTATATATACCGTAGATCAAATGATTTAAAAGAAGTTATATTACTTAGTTTTTGAACATTTTTAAGTGGGTCTGTTACTTTTAGTTTATAACTGAATTGATTAAAGATAAGTGGGTCTTACCTTGTGGTCAATCTTTTTGGATTTGGTATTTTTTGATATATTGTTGTGACAATTGATATTTGTGATAATGGTATTGAAATATGGACATCTTCAAATATTTTTGAAACAATTATAGTTATTTTTGCTCCCCTTTCGTTAAAAAAAACTTGCAAGATTTTTTTTGTCCTTTTAACTGAGCAATGATTTGTGAAATTACAAATGAATCAGTAAAGGCTTCATCAATTGTTAATGCTCATCATTTATTAATGTAGAGCATGGTTTTTTTTATCAATGTTTGTGCTGCTCTTCCAACCACTAAAGTAATTTATAGTTTAATTTATTTAAAAATGTGTGACTTTATTTTACTTTAGTGTATTTTTATTTAATTTTATTTTTTATTCAAATTATTTATACTATTATCATTTGAGAGGCTTTGAAAATTTAGCTCAAAATGATATTAAAATGGATAAAATCGGACCACAAATCATCACCTTTCTTTTTCAATTTTTTTCTTTTTTAGTCTTTGTTTATTTTTATCCTCAAACGTGCGCTACACACACATGATTAATTTAAAATAACGGCTAAAACAAATTGTTTAAAAAAAAAGTAAAAAAGATGACATAAAAGAAAATAAAATAATAAAGGGAGAAAATCTTAAGCAAAGAGAGAAGGAAAGTAAACTAACTTATTTCGTTGTTTTTAAAATCAATTATATTTTATTTTATTTGTTTTTATTTAATTTGACGTTATTTGATTTAAATTTAGCATATTTTTATTTAGTTTTATTGTATTATTTATGGTATTTTTATTTAAGTAATATAAAAAATTTGACACAAAACGGTGGTAAAACATACAAAATTAAACTCCAAATCAATTCAAAATAATAAATTACTATCATAAAAAATAAAAATCTAAAAAATATGAAACCGTTCGATCAAAAATTTTGAAGGCTGTGATTCGCGCATGAAAGGCACGCGTAAGAGAATCGCGTTCAGTGGGGGGAAGAGGGCGGCTTTGCAGTGGTAGGCCTCGCCACTTTTTCCTTCGGCCAGCCGGGCGTCGACACGTGGCAATCCTAGAGTGAAAGACGTAAAAGCCATGCACAGGGAAGGGAAAAGATAAGAAAAAATGGTAAAATTGACAATTCACACTCAAAGAATAAGGGACATAAATGGAACTTTGAAAATGTTATTGTACAATGAATAGTGAATTATCAGTGTGTGAATTGTGAATCTTTTATCCCTTTTAGTATATATAACTAGCTAAAAGCCCACGCATTACTGCAGAAAATACTGTTGTTATATAAAAAGTTATAAATTTTTATAATATAAAAAATTTGACACAAAACAATGGTAAAACAAACAAAATTGAACTCCAAATCAATTCAAAATAGTAAATAACTATAATAAAGAATAACAATTTTAAAAATAAACCGGAAATGATTTGAAATCGTATGATCAAAAATTTCAATGGCAGTGATTCGCGCGTGAAAAACATGCGCAAAAGAAGCACGTTTAGCAGGGAAAAAGTGCAGCTTCGCAGTGGTGGGACCTGCCACTGTAAAACCCAAAATTTATTTGGGGTCAATTTGTAATTTTTAAAGATTTAAGTGTGAAAATTTTAGAAATCTGGGCCAGAATTCGAATTTAAGAGAAATATGAGCGTCAAAAATGAAAATTTTGACAGTCAGCATGCCCAACCTGTCATTTAGTGCCACTTGGGCGTGTTCCTCATCCTCACAAATCAGAAAACCCTCATTTTCCCTCTCCTCATTTTCTCTCATTTTCTCTCATTTCCTCTCCTTTTCTCCACGCACGGCCGACCCACCTCCAGCGAGGTTCCGGCGTCCGTTTTTGACACCTCCCGGCTCATTGGAAAGATCTCGTCGAGCTGAGTCCGGATTGGTGTCTTCCAGCCGCCAACTTTGCCGGACGACGCCACACTCGCCGGCCAAAGTTTCAAAAAACACCCAAACTTCCAATCGTGATATCTTCGCCGTCCGGTGTCCGATTGAGGTGATTCCGGTCCCAATAGACTCAGAGCGAAGAGACAAAGAAAACCATACTAGCAGCACGGCTTGATTCTAACCGGAGGGCCGCCGCCCGTGGTGGTCAGATTTCTCCCCGCCGCCGCCCTCATACCTCCCTCCTCCGGCTGCCGTGAACGACACCGCCCAGCTCATTAGCTTCAGAGGGAGCCGATGAGTCATTCTGGGCCACCAGCCGTGGTCACCGCCGTTGGCTTGCCGAAAAATGAGCAGCCACCGCCGTGAGAAAAATGGGAGGATGGTTCCGGTGATCTAGCCGTTGGATCCTCGTGATCTTGGTGTCAAAATACTCAGAATCTCACGGGTAATGAAAGCCCTCAATCAATTTTGAAGATCCGTGGCTGAAAAACAAAGATTCAAGACTCAAAATTTGACCGGAATTGAGGATCTCGATCCGTGTTGTTAGAGGCCGAATTTGGTAAAATTGACATCGCCATTGGATTCAGAACTATTGATTTAGGGGGGGTAGGACCCAAGTCCGCCGCGGGGTTCTTCACCGGGAAGTTCCGCCGCCGCCGGTGGCCGAATTCCGGCGAAGCTTCGTTTCTCAGCTTCTCGACTTCCAATTAACGATCCGTTTTGAGGTAGGGGTCCTATTACTTAACTTTTGTGGAATTTTATTTAATTTAATTTATTTTGTTAAATTTTATAAGATTGAAATTGTATATCAAACTTATTTATTACTGTTATACGACATGACTTGAAACAGAACCATTAGGGGGCCCGTCCTGTAATGTACAGCGTGGCCAAGAGATTTTGAGATAACTTTGGAATCTGACACAAAAGCATGGTTAGGAGAATGTAAACCGGACACGATAGTGAGATAGTATGCTAACAGTAGGTGTGACCGTTCACCATCCCTGGGTGTGAACCCGAAAAGGTAAAAGAGGGGAGAGGTGATGACGCTCTCCGGGGTTGAGAATCCCCAAGGTTACTGTACAGTGGTTGCGTCTTGGTGAGGGCTCGGAACGACAGTTCACCCTTGCCCGTGGTTCGAGAACTAATCTGGTAGGGACGCCGAGATAGAGCTCCTTGCTATCAGTGCCTCTAAATCACCGCGCCCTTCGGGGGTTTTTCATCACGAGCGTACAGATTGGGTTATCTCACTGATACTGATCATCTGACTCATTATACATAAAACATAAAAACTACTAACCATGCAGGTTTAATTGGAAAACTAAATAAAACTAAAGGTGAGTAATAGTCCTCCTACTGAGCATTTCATGCTCACCCCTTTTCTCTTCCCATCCCCAGATGGTGTGCAGTGTAATCTTTTAGACGAGGAGTAGACGTCTCACAGTGTGCACGTGTTGGAGACCTATCCCTTCTTTTGGTCTTCTTCTTTTATGTAAGATTATGACTGGGTTGTTTTCAACATAAATGTGACTGATGATGGTTGTATTATTTTAGTATTTTACTTGGTGCTACATTGTACTGTGGATTTCTGGTATAATTTTCTTTGTTGAGTTGTGATTTTAATCATGAGTTTTTCGTTAAAAGTCCCATGGGCACTTATCGTTTATATTTCAGGAGCTATATTTTATTTTTATTTTCGTTTATCCCTCGTATTTTATTCTTATTGCGTAACCCCCACCTAGGGGTGTTACAGCCACTTTTTCCTTCGGCCAGCAGGTGTCGACACGTGGCAATCCTAGATCAAAAGACGCAAAAGTCCATGCACAGGGAAGGGAAAAAGAGAAAGAAAAAATGGTATAATTGACAATTCACACTCAAAAGACAAGGAACATAAACGAAAATTCAGGATTGTTACTGTACAATAAACATAAAATGTGAGTGTGTGAATAGTGAATCTTGAGGCTCTTTTAGTATATATAACTAGCCAAAATCGCATTCGTTACTGTAAAAAATATTGTTGTATTATATAAAAAGTTAGAAATTTTTATAATATAAAAAATTTGGTACAAAATAATGGTAAAACATACAAAATTAAACTTCAAATCAATTCAAAATTGTAAATAACTATAATAAAGAATAAAAATTTAAAAAATAAGCGTAAAAAAAGCGCATTCAACGAGAAAAAGAGAGCAACTTCACGTGGAATAAGGACTCTCAAACATAACAAAGGAATATAAGGGGAAAACAAAATACTCTTTTTGTATGGGAGTTTCGGAATTTTACAGAGTAGATTGGTTCGTTGATTAAAAAAATTTGTGATTGACTCTTTAAATTTTGAAATTAATTGCATTGCCGGTCATTTGATCACATCCATTAAATATTGAACGATTTTTGAGGCGTGATTTGGATGTGAGCTTCTAATTAGGCATTGATGGTCTTTTTTATTCAAATTCGGAGTAAAGGAAAAAAAAAATAGCTCCACTTCTCCATCTCTTTCATGATCTTTCTCTCTCCAACTACTTGCAATGGCCTCCCATCTCGAAGAGATCTGGTGTCGCAGCGGCCTCCC